TGTAAGTAATCCGAAATATTTGGTCGTTTTCCCTTGAAATATGAATATAAAATCCAGTGGTTATTAAATACCACTAAAAGTAAGCTCTAAAAATGAATAAATAAATGAATAAATAAAAATGTAATTTGGGTACAGTATTGCATATATAATAATAGAAGGTGAAAACCTTAGAAATGTTTATTATTGGCAATCTACAAACACATACTTCTAGATAATTGCAAGCTTTGTATTATTTGCATACCTTATTTCTCTTTTCTTCCCCAGTCTTTTGACAGAGGCCATTTTGACTAAGGGCAGGTTATTAAATATCTCTTTACTTCCTAGAACTCTGGCACGTGTGACTAGGGCATGTGACCATGCACATCATCTCAGGGGAGGAAAATGCCTTTCCCAGAGATCTCCTGAGATTACAGATGAGATTTCCCAGCAATGCTCTGCTGAAGACATGGCAATCCCAGAGTGCATTGCTTTGGCAAACTGAAGTTATTTTCACCTTTCAAAGCAGGAAGTGAATGCTCTGCTAGTGTAAGTATTTCAGAATCACAGCATTTTACACCTGACATGTCTATGTTATTATTCTTCATCATACATAGAGGGATGCATTGGTAGAATTTGAGTGTAAAGATCCACATGGAGGCTTTTATCAACTTCTTGCCCGGCAAATGCTAGCATCCTGGCTGCCATGCTGACCCATGGCTTCAAAACTTCAACCCGTCCTTTTCCGCTGGTACATGACCCCTGACAGGATATCAAAGTTTCTGCCCACGACATCCCCTTGTTGTTTTGGAGGTTTTGTAGCTCGGGGTACACTATTTCATATTTGGTGGCAGTGCCCGAAGGTGCAGAGGCTGTGGATATAATATAATATAATCTGTTGAGAAAGCTTTTCAACCGTTGCTTTGCTTGTAATCCTTGGGAGGCTCTATTGAGCAGGCCGATCGCACCCCTTTCTAAGAGGGATAGGAAATAGGCAAACTTTATCTTTTTGGTGACTCTACAGACTATTGCCAAGGCTTGGAAGCAGCCGTCACTAATTTTCCTGAAGTTAAGCAACGAGTCATGGGAATCATGGTACACAAGAAGCTCACGGCTATTTTGCACAATTCCTGTACTTTCAGAAAACATGGTCTCCTCAGTTGGATTATGTTCGTCCGATGGATCTAGAGCAGGGATGGCCAAACTCCGGCCCTCCAGCTGTGGTGAAACAAAAAATCCCATGAAGCATCTCTCTCCGGGAGTCATGTCTGTGGCTGTGAGAATCTTGCAAAGCCTCATGGGATTCGTGGTTCCACCACAGCTGGAGGGCCGCAGTTTGGCCATTCCTGATCTAGACCGTACCCTACTTTCTGATTACAGTTTGCTGTTTGGAGCAGAGTGTACTCTGGCTGATTGTTTACTTTTGCCTTTGCTAGTTTCACTACAGCTGGAGTGCCAAGGTTGCCTACCCCTGCTCTACGATGCTGAAAAACAGGCGACCCCCATTGAACTTACATTACACCTGTGCTTTAAATGCTACCAATCTAATACTAGAATAGTAAAGCAATCCTGCTACCATAATAATATGTTTATCCTACATACAGGCTTACTTCAACTCTTTTCAGTCCTAACCTCCTTGAGTTTCCATTGTAACAAGCAATATAAAGGCACTATAAGTGACTAAAGTGCAGGGACCTAGAGGTGCCTGCTAATATCTTTATAAATATTCAGGAATTCCAAGAAGCCCCAAAACTGGACTTGGTCTATGATTAGCTCATTGTATCCTAGCAATGGTGACAGCTGGCCTGCTTCCTACCATCTCCTACATATTGTTTTTGGCTAGTAAGACTCTCCATCACAGCGGTGGGCCAGTGGGAAATGAAGATGGGCAGAGCCGTAGCTAGCTCCTTTTGTGACCAAAGCAAGAACAAAAAATTGTGCCCCCCTCCAACAGGCGTGTGACATCTCCCGACGATGCGCACGCTCGACTTCACATAACATCATGAATGTGTTTTTTTGAAATGTATTTTATTGTTATTTTAAAAAAAAATGTAACCAAGTTTTTTTTTTCATTGTAGAGGGGCTTCAGGGAAATACACTATATTGCCAAAAGTATTGGGACGCCTGCCTTAACACGCACATGAACTTTAATGGCATCCCAGTCTTAGTCTGTAGGGTTCATTATTGAGTTGGCCCACCCTCTGCCGCTATAACAACTTCAACTCTTCTGGGAAGTCGTCCACAAGGTTTAGGAGTGTGTCTATGGGAATGTTTGACCATTCTTCCAGAAGCACATTTGTGAGGTCAGGTACTGATGTCCAAGCAGTAGCATGTGTTGCTTGGAAATAAATAAGTGTGTGCATGTGGAATGAGACAAAGAGGGGCCAGGATAGGCTGAAAATGCTAGTTGGGAGCAAAGGCACTGTGTTGTCAGCCCAAATAGGAGGTTGGGAGCACACTTTCAGGAAGAATAATATTTTTCTTTACTTGCAGTATTTTTAAAGGGATAAAACATAGGGACATGTGCATGTATTGGAGAGATGTATCTCATATGCATTTTTTTTTGCCTTGATATACACTTTCAGTGAGGCATTAGAAAGAACACTAAATACCCTGGGATACCTGTAAAGTCACTATTACATGAAATTGTATGTAAACCCCCATCACTAAAATCTCATATAAGCTTTAACATGTTAACAACATTTTATTAATATCATACCCGGTGATCTTACCATGATGACCTTTGTTCAGGCACTTCTTGTTTTATGTTGGCTTTACTTTGTCCCTGGTACCCACCTGTGCTCCTGCATTGTCACCCTGCTGCACGGGCTTTCGATGGAGACTACAAGTGACTATTTTAACACACATGGCACAGGTCAGTGTTGCCACCATTTGGAAACCCACCCTGAGATATGCTGTGCAGCCTTTGCTGGTGCTCATGCATGTGGGCAGCAAAGTGGCTGCATAAGGCCCCGTTCACACTGATAGGTTTGTTGCGTGTTTTCCGCCGCGAAACCATGCATATTTCCGCGCGATATCGCTTTATGTAGCTTGTCCAATGCATTTCAATGGAGCTGTTCACATCTCACAGCTCAATGTCGCCTATAGCTTGTCGCTCGTACATGACCCTTTTTTCCCGCCGATCTTGCGCGATATGGCTCCAATAGACTCTATGGTGTCACGCAAAATCGCGCATTATCGGCGATATTGCATGACTTTGTCGCGTGATATCGCGCTACAGAAGGGTCACTTTTGCACTGCAAAATGGAAGGAAAGAATGATGTCGCTCGTACATGGCCTTTTTGCGCGGATGTCGCGCGATTCGGCTCCAATAGACTCATTGGTGTCACGCAAGATCGCGGATTACCGGCGATATTGCGCGACTTCACGCTACAGAATGGTCTCTTTTGCACTGCAAAGCCTTTGCTAGATGTCACATCGAGATCGCTGTTGATTGGTTGCAGCCCAATGTAGCAGCGACGAAGTCCCACCCAAAAAACGCGCTATGTAGAGCAATAAAATGTGCACTGTCATTCAATATCGCTGAAAGCCGCTCTGCACGAAATCGCGCGAAAAAACGCGCAATATCCATCTCGCTCAGTGTGAATGGGGTCACAGAAGGCCACAGGAGATCAGCAACACTGACATGTAACATAATATCATAAAAAGTCAAAACAAGTATTTTTTTATTTTTAAAATATGGCAGTTGTTTCTGACACACAAGGCTCAGTTCACAAAGTTAACACACCGGGATAACGATTGTTATTTAAAAAAAAGTGACATCTATTTTTAGCTCTCCAATGAGAGTTGAACATTTCAGTCACGTGACTGAAAACACCATTATATTGCGCTAAACTAAATGTCATTCAGTTAGGGTTGGCATCTATCTTGAGGTCTGGGGTTCAATCCCCACCATGGTCTCCACGGTTTGTATATTTCCCCTGTCTATCCTTTCTCCGGATGCTTGATTTTTTTGCCCACAGCCCAAAAACGTACCCGTAAATGAATTGTCTCCCAAGCCAACAGAGGTCATCCCTGGGGTGTATGGGGGTTCGCATGACATTAGATCATAATCTCCTGACGGGGATGGTGCATTGCTGCATTACATACCAATCCTAGGGCATACATAGCTAGTTTTCCTACATCAAGACATAAATGTTTCATATGGAAGTCAAGGCTGTAATTTATGGAACCAAAATTGATTCACGGGTCACGGGAAAGCGCTTGGGTTCCCTGACCTATTGCAAATGCATCCAATCAATTCCGTCATCAACGCCCCCATCCTTCAAATGTCAAAATGAAATCATTGATAAAATTGCTACATTAACCCGTGAAACGCGTTGGCGGAAGAAAATTCTGAACCGGCGGGACGTCTGCGGTGTCTCGGGATACGGGGGGCGGGGTTGGTGTAAGGTGACCGGTGAATGTCCGACAGGCCCTGTCCAGCTGAGCTCCTCTGTCTCTGCTGCTGAAATAAAGATAGATGTGAAGTGCCTTGTGGACATGATTAACTGATATCTGCAAGGCTGTGGATAGCCACCCAGCTAATGAAGGAGTTAGCAGAATAGATGAGAGCTAAACTAATACTGTTTAATGACTTGAGTCTAATCCAGGAGACAAGCAAAAATAGAAAGGGGTATCTGGAAGTGACAGCTTTGTGTGGATGGAGGAAGAGCAGGGTACCAAAGTGGAAAGAGCAGCATCCAGAGCATGCATCGAGCACGTCTTCTATGTGATGAGGGTTTAATTATTTCTCTTTTTTCCCCTGTCTCCTCTGCATCCCATTCAGCATAAAGAGAGGCGATCATGCAGACAGGGATCCGGGGAATTCCCACATGTCGTATGCTAGTGTCTCCCTCATCTGAATGCCTCCTTCCTTCTCCCTCGCCCCTCAACATGTTCTCTCCAGCTTTTATTTTGTTGCGCCCTCCTTCTCCCCTTTTCGCCGTCTTTATTTCTCCCCCATCTTTCTGTCTATGTGCCCCCTCCTCCCTCGCTCTCTCCCTCCCTCCCTCCCTCTCTCGCTCTCTCTCTGTACATGGGGCTGCGAGTGTGCGCGCTGAAAGATCTCTGCACTGCAGCCTCCACCTCCTCCTCCTCTCTCTCTCTCTCTCTGCCTCTCTTGCACACTGAGCATCGCTGCAGTATTAGGCATCGGTACCCTGGGAAGGAAGAAAAGGAGCCCGAGAGAGGTTGGGAGAGGGAGCTGCACAGGCACAGAGGATGCTGAATAACCTGACAGAGTGCGAGGAGGGAGAGGGGGGCACCAGCCAAGGTAAGTGGAGGAATCTGACAACAGGGAGGTGGGGGAAGAGAAGGGGGAGCCAATTCTCCGCAGTGCTGCTTCTGAAGTGGGGGGGCGTTAGTGACCAGGCTAGGGGGGAGCAGGGCCCCCCCCCATGCTAGGCTTACTTTAAAACCCAAAATAGCTAGGGGCCAAAAGCTTCTTGAATTTCACTGATGCACCCTTTAAAATAAGCGAGCCCTCAGCCAGGTGCTTGGGTGCCTTTGTAGACCCCAACCGTTGCATACTGTTGCTCTTCATCCCTACGGCACTGCATTGTGGACCTCTGACCCCTGTATCTTCCTATGACCCCCCCGGTGGCTGTCAAGCTCTAGGGCACCCATGGATCCACGGTGGCATATTGCACCTCTGGCTTTAACATATAGAAAACTCATGCTGCGAAAAGATCTGCAGCTGCCGCCACTTGACCGCTGACCCCAATGTGTCAAGCAGGACCCCCGTGCTGTAGGCAAAGGCTTGATATGTTTATTGTGATTGTACGTGTTGTCTGACCAGTGCTGTAACGCAGTTTCGCCACCTGTAAGGGACTGTCCGTTATATTGCAACAGCTGCTAAGCACTGGCTGCAAACTGACCCATATTGCTCCATCACCCCCCTCCCGCATTCACACTGCATACATGTCATCAGATTGTAATTCTATACAGTGCTTAATATCATTTAAACTAATCTGTATCATGCACCCGATGCTTGCCTCTGCATTGCACTGCCTGCATCGCCTGTTGTTGAGCAGCCTTCTCCCATTACTGACACTTGTCACCCTGTCAATCCCCCCCAGCCCCCCATGACCTGTCTCCTAGGCTTGCTCTCCAGCTGTGACATGATGTCTGTTTACTTTTAACATCCCCCCATCCCTTCCCCGTGACATCCCATCAGCATAGCACCAGCTCGATTATGTTCACAGCACCAGTGGTGCATCATGTCTCATGCTCACTGTATTCTCTCATCAGCACCGCAGTCTCATTCCTCCTCACCAAGCCACCAGCGCGCTATGGTCTTCCCCTTGTTTGTATGCTCGGTTTATCACCGCTGCTCCTCAGAAAATCACTGCATTCCTTGTCATTTTCACTGCATCACAAGTTCAGCCATTTTCATACTCATATAATTAGATAATCGCTGCTGCAAGTTTTCCCAGATCCAGTTCAGCGTTCTGTTCTTCCCAGCTAGATGCATCTGCCCCCTCTCTGTGACATTTCTTTACGGTACTAACAGTATTTGAAAAGACAGTATGTGAGAAAGGAATCATTTGAGATGTTGTATTGCAATCCCATGCATTAGGTGTTACCAATTAAAAAAACAATCATTTGATTAGAATAGAATGCCTTGCTTACTAGGACCCACTTTTGCATCTTTTGCTCCATCTCTTTGGGACTCAACATGATAAACTGTTGCATTTGTTTGATACACATTAAAGCTTATTCATAAGACAGCGAGACCAGTCAGAATTCACCCAACTGCAGGCAACTGAAATTTGATTGGCTGAAGCTTTCACGCATATATTGCACCTTGCCGTTTAATTGATATATTATGAATGGAGGGGAAATGAAGCAAAAACAATGTGGTTTTTTTTTTATGTGCAGAATTGCTTGCTGAAGGTGGAGGTGATGGCTAGTTTAATGGCCATATGCTCAATTCACAAAGATAATATAACAGGGTAAGGATTCCCTATTTAAAAAAAGTGGCAGCTGTTTTTAGCTCAATGAGATTAAAAAATTACAGTCACATGGCTGAAAATAAAGATCCTTATCCTTGTGTTAAAGCTTTGTGAATTGAACCTAATGTCAATTGAAAAAAAAAACAAAAGAATAAAATTGCCAGTGCCTTGGACTCCTCCGTAGGCTTAGGATTTTCCCACACTGCTAATTTCTCGGACGTTTTAATGGCTGAATGATGGTGCATGACAGTTAACAATAGGTGTACCTTTGCATGATTGTTAGTGACATCACCAGTCCCTTTGACCCAAATAATAAAGTGTAACTGGCAGCGTCATTTAATACAAAGACTGTAATTTGTAATGGTCAATAGTATTAATAAAAAGACTGTATAAAAGAGCTTCGACACAACATTCCCCCCCAATGCACGTCCTTTGTCAGCAACAGTGGGGCCCCTAACCAGTGATGGCTTTTAATTCACGCCAAAGTCTGTATTTGATGAACAAAGGTATGCTGATAGAGCAATTGATAACTTGAGAATCTGCAATGCTAGATTTCACCAGCAGGTAGTGCTGCATGAGAAATGTGTAATCATGACTCTCAGAGATAACTGAAGAGGGGGAACCACTACCAGGCTTTAAATAAGATAGTGCTAATGACAAGTGCAGTAACTGATAGAACTCAAGAAGATTTCAGACTACTCTTATCATATGAGGCATAAGACAAAACATTTGTCGCTATGCGTTATTGCGTTTTGCACATAGTCATTGCTTTTTGCGCAAGATTATTTAAGTAAAACTGTCATACTAGGCACCGCAGGCACCTACCATTCTTGCAGGTCACCTTGGAATCCCCCAGAATACAGGGGCTTCTCAGTAAGCAAATTTTAACTTAACACATATTTGAGACATCCGTCTGCACTGAATTGTGGGATGCACTGGGGGTTTTCCATTGTCATTGCCGAGTAGCATGTAAGTGACACACTGCAGGTGGCTTCAAATTTTAGGGGATCCTGGGGTGCGACAATGGAAGCCGTCACGGGCAGGGCCCTCCTTACCATCTTGTCTTGATTTGTATTGTGATTGTAATGTCTTCCTCATATTGTAAAGCGCTGTGCAAACTGTTGGCGCTATATAAATCCTGTATAATAATAATAATAGTGGGTAATACCAATTGGCACCCAGGGGTGCTTAGTGTTAGATGTGTTATATCAACCCAAACGTATTTTGAGTTATTATTTCACTGTTTACCTTTGGATATGACTTTTGTAGTTTTATGTGCTTTCTCTTTTATATTTTTGTTAATGTATTATAGACATACTGTATATAGATTAGTCACTATAGGGACTTAAAGGACAAGTTCAGTATTTATCGTTAAAAAATACCTGCTTCTTAAATATAGTAACCTAAACCATCCTTGCCGGTGCTAACAGTCATGCGAAAAAGAAAGTACACCCTTTTTTTAAAATTCTATGGTTCTAAGTATCAGGACATAATAAAAATCATCTGGTCCTTAACCTCAGATGACCAACAGCACATCACATATTACACCGTGTCATTATTTATTTTACAAACCTAAAGCCAAAATGGAGAAGCGATGTGTGAAAAACTAAGCACACCTTTTGATTCAATAGCTTGTAGAACCACCTTTAGCAGCAATAACTAGAAATAATTGTTTACTGTATGACTATCAGTCTCTCATATCGTTGTGGAGGAATTTTGGCCCAATCTTCTTTACAATGTTGCTTCAGGTCACTGAGGTTTGCAGGCATTTGTGTATTAACAGCTCTCTTAAGGTCCCGCCAGAGCATTTCAATTGGGTTGAGGTCTGGACTTTGACTGGGCCCCTGGATTGGGCTAAGGACCACATGATTTTTATTATGTGCTGATACACCAAAGAGGGTGTACTTTCTTTTTCAAACGACTGTACATTCCTTGGACGGTGGTGGCCTCTCTTATCCCAGCTAGTTAAAATCTAGCTGCCCTTGCCTGCACACTAGCATCCCATAGACTTGAATGGGACGTATCCATACTTTAGGAGCATAGTCCCATGTACGTCTATGAGACATTAGCAGGCGCTGGCAGCCTGGCACCAGATTTTTACTGGCCTTTGGAGGGAATAAGAAAGCACCAGCAGAGGGGAGGAATGGGTCAGCTTAGTGTATTTGGGGATAGGAAGAAGGGCTCTTTTTTTTAGCAAAAAACTGAACTTGTGCTTTAGGATAAGATATCAGCCACACAGGGAGTACGTTGCTTTTAATGAGTTGGAAGCCTCATAGACCTGTAGTGTATAAAGCATCTGTAAAGTACAGAGAGCAGAGGCTGAGTATCTAATGACTGAATGTGGCTACCCCCTTCCCCATATATATATAATAACAAATTATATACAGTATATGATATATATAATAGAAACCAGATTTCTAAAACAATAATATGTTGATAAGGTTATTTACATCAAGCTGATCTCTTTTACGTGTCTTTACAAAAACATTTTAAAATAACACACGTTCCCTTTAAAGCAATCTAATACACATAGCGGATACTATCATTGACTTAATTAAGAAAGGAAAATCTTGTTTTCAGAATTTAAAATAGAATTGCATCTCTTTTGTGCTTACACTAGAATTTGTATTGCCACCTCCTAATTATTCCAATTTTATTACAGCGCAGCTGATTCAGTCATACTGCTTGTTGTAAAGATAAATAAGCAACTGCCTTAGTGGTATTTTGTGTGTCTTTTGCTTAGATCAGCTCGGGTAAATAGGGTTTTCACAATCAACTGGAGATTTGTATCCTGGTTATGGCTCGCAAATTGGCTCTGCTATCACGTATGCCTCAAACGTAATAGTACGGCTGTCATGACAATCCTGTTTACATAGGCATGGTTTACTATCTTGCTATTCTGAAATAACGGCTCTCCTAAATAAGAACAATCCACAATGGCAGATTTTTCCTGCAGTATCTGTCTAGATGGAAGGTGGTTCGATACACTAGGAAATAGGCTTATGTTTCAAGCAGGATTTCACTATATAAAGTGGAAAGTCCCTTTAAGTGTCAGTCCACCCAAAAGTGATACTGTATTTGAGTTACAGATTGAACCCAGTGGGTTGCCATTGATCCAACAGGGAGAGTGGAAACCCTTTATAATGTCTCTGGTAGGTGTGTAAACCTGGGACTTTAAACACTGATGGAGTCCCTGAGAAATATAAGAAACTCTCAGGCGATTTAACGCTCTACTTCTAGCGTCTGCGAAAAACTCAAATATTAGTTTTGGGGGAACTGATGCTTTGAAGATATATTTATAAGGTAGGAGTTCCCATTT